TTGTTTTCAGTTTCAGATTTATAGAAATAACTTCAAAAGCCGAGTGTGAGAATTTCACACAAATTGTAAAATTGCATAAGATAATAAAACCAAGCTTTTAAATAAATTAATTTTAATTATGAAAATATGATTGTCTTCACTTTAAACTAAAGTAAAAATTTTAAGACATTGGATTTGGCAGTTTTCTTTTGAAAACTTATTTTCAGTAAAAATTTGCTGAAGACATATAACAATTGCAATGTGATCTGAAAATTTGAGATATATAATGAACTGAAAATAGTATATCTATTGTACTGCCTCATATTAAAGAGCATATCAAATTAAACATTTTTTAATAATTTTTAAGTTATATTGTGATAAAATAGTCCAGAACTTTTTTTTTCAAGGTATTGCCCATCGTTAGCTATTACTTAGTCCGTGCTATATACCAGCATGTAGAGTGCATATCAAAAGACCTTCCTACCTTCAGAGGCAAACCTTAAAATAAATCACTTTTTGACATATTCTAAAGAATAAGAGTACTGTTCAGCTAAACAAAAGATGGTTGGGTTAAATGAAGCTAATTAAGCATCATTCACGGCTCAAGAATATCAATTGCGTTTCGTAAATAAATCTCATGATAGTATCACTTTATTTTAGCAGCTCGTAGTAGATAACACTTTTCTGGTCCTACCAAATATAAAGCATAATATTTTCTATATAATAATTTTGCTATTGATTGTCGTAATGTATTGACTAATCATCGCCATTATCATTTGCCTGTGAACAAATGTTGCCAAAACCATATATCATTTGGGAAGCTGCTTACGAGCGAAAAATTGTGTTGCAAGAATCTCTCGGCAATAACTCGTACGTTACCCAATTGCCTTATTTCTGCATCGTTCTTAAGGCTGTTAAACGCTTACAGGCTATAATTCTGCAAGCTTTAGTTGAATGTGGTACGAGCTTTCATCCGCATCTTCAAGTTCTTCTTCTTTCAAATCAAAATAAAAATTTTTGCTGATGTTCAGTTAAGTTTAAACGGAATCTGTTATAAATTCGAATTTTATTTTGATTTTATTTTGACTCTGATAACTATTTATATCCTTACAACTGTATTTAAATTACACATACCATTTATAAACTTTACCTTATTACACGATGGACTTTCGCATTAATCCTGACCTCACCGTATAAAAACACCAAACCATTCAACAAATTTATATAAACTAAACTGATGGCGTTTGGATTAGTAAATCTGGGGCAACTTTTTGAATCGAGATTTACTTTTAATGCAGTTTTCATTTTCGATTGGGGAATCTGTATAACACTCAATATTAATTTATAACACTTCAGATGGCAAGATTACCATGAAGTGAATAGCTCTTTTGGGTGATGCTGATCACTGCACAAAAAAATACCATAAATATATGTATTACTGAAATCATTAAAAGGAAATAGTTTTGGAATACTTAGGTTCTCTTAGCTGGTATCTTTTTCTTTACCCTGGAAATTTTCTACAGAATATACTTGAAGTATATTGAAGACTAAACAGTCTTCCTATATAAATAAATATAAAATACTAGCATGTCGATTAACTAACTGTCGATTAATTAACTAACTCGAAAGAACAAAAATAATAATATCCTTTTGAAAGCATTTATCGGATATATTTGTCTTGTGAATGGCAAATGTCGAAACTCAAAATAGAATTCATGATTTTTAATATTATATTATATTATAAGTATTATATTAAAAGTTTCGATTCTAAAATATAAACAAAAAAATAGACTTTGACTTAATGAACTTCAAAATTTAGTCCAATTCAGACCTTTAAAGTATTGAATATTTTCACAAATCAATATATTTATTTAGTTTTTAGTGAATTTATAATTTTACTTAAATAGATGCAGGCGTGTTCCGGAACATATCCATCAAACGAAAGTTGTCCCACAGCTGAGCTACAAGGAAGCAGAAAGCATGAAATTGAAAAAAATGTGTTATTTCACTTTTGATTTTTACAGTAGATCTCAGTTTAAAATACTAACTAAAAACATCATTAAACTTATGGACTCAAGTTTACCATAATAACTTTAAAGCTTTAATGTAAATTTTGTAATATAATTTACTAATCGAAATAAATTAAATATTGAGAAATTAAATAAATTAAATATTGATATTTTTTTCAAAAAGCCACAATCAACTATTAATAGTATATACTCAATATCATTATAAAGTAATAAAAATAGATTTTGAAAGATATGTAATAGCACCGCAGCTGTTATATATCTGCTGTATTAGCAAGAGGCCCTTATTGAGCAAAACCCAAAAAATCTTCCATTGATGAATTATTAATATTAGATAGGACGCGAAATTTGCAACCAAATATTCTCCTTCATGCTTAGACCTAAGCCAGAACGTGTCTAGAGGTTTCAAATACTTTTAAACAAAGCCGAAACTCTGTTCCATAATGTAAAACCAAATTGAAAATTAATTTAATTGACAGTAACTTAATTTGATATATTGTTAATTATTATTACTAAAATAATATTAAATTTTATGTAGAATAATTTTAAGAAATTTTTCTTAATAAACGTATTAAAATACCCCTAATCGATCAATGCTTTATTTTTAAATATTATGAATTGTTCTTCTTAGTGATGAACCTGGTATATCAATGATATACCATTTCTATGGTATACCATTTTTATTTATTTTTTTTTTTGACAAATTAAATTAATTAATGGAATATGGTAATACTCAACATTCTTTGACTTACAGAACTGCAAATTTTAGTCAAATTAATCTAGTTTCTGATAAAAACATTTTATTGTTTATTTGTTAGCTGGCTATAGATCATTTTTATTTCAATAAAAATTAAAAAATCCTTTATTGCTGTTTATTAATTAATTCTATATTTCGACTCTCATCAGGAGCATTTTCTAGTTGTCCATATTGCAATAGACAACTCTTTCTTAATAAAAAAGTGAATGTTAGTCCCTCCAATGAAATTTAATCCATTGATTTAAGTGTGGTCCGTGATATAAGGTTTTCTTATTTTATCTTGTGTTATTAGTAATAAGATTTTAAAACTTATTATTTATCTCATTATAAGAGAAGATAAAATAAATAAATGTTAATTGGTAAAAAGTGACAAATTGAGTGATAAATTTGGCAAAAAATGATCTCATCATATCCGATTTGGGTGAAATTTTTTTTATGAGCATCTTTCATAAAATAAGAAAAGATTAATAAAATAATAAGATGAGATTAGCATTGTAGATACATTTTCAAATGACCTTATCTCAGGCTCTTTAAGTGACTTGAAATTTATTGCATTTTAAAGATAATCGATTGAACTTTAAAGAATTTGTTTCAACAATTGAGATGATTTGTATTTACGTACTACTATTAAAAGTTATATTTAAAAGAAAATTTTTTCAAATATGTCCCCAGATTTTTAATTTTTTATATTTTATTTAGATTCAGTATTAGGTTTAATTCGGAAGTAAAAATTTTTAGAATGGTATTATTTTTTCAAATTTTCAAATTTTTTTTTTATTTTATTGGAAAACACACTAATCACATACGTACTATATTTCCGATGAATGAATTTTCAAAGAATATACTACAAAAATTCTATTCTATTCTATATAAAACCCAAAAATTTCAATACGATTTTACAAGTATTTCTTAAAAATTAACTTATCCGTCACCCAACACCGTTTTGAAGTAAAAAAAAAGAGGGACATATCTTAAAAGTTTTTAGTTTTCATTCCGATTAATAAATAATTTTTACTTGAAAAATAAATATTTCCAGTGAGGTAGTGTTTTTAGATGTGTTTAAAAAAATTAATTTATAAGGCGTTTTTCACGTCACTCATACGCACCATATTACCATTAAATCAATTTTCCAAGAAAAACTATACAAAAATGTTTACTTTTTATTTCTGAATTGAATTTATCATTAAAATCTACATAAAGATTAAAGTTTTTAGGACGTTATTATTCTCAAAAATATTTTCATTAAATAAATTAGTTTCGCATCAACATCAAATCGCATAAAAGTTATGACACATCTTCCACCCTTTACACATGCTATAATAAATGGAGCAATGAATCAAAAATAGAAAACTCTTGTGATTTACATATATCTCCGGTCCTTTAAATTCGTATCGTTTTCTTAAATTATTGAAAGAATAATTTATGAAAAATTAAAAATATATTTCTTTATAAGTTATAAGTGTGAATTCAGATATGGAAATCTAATAAACGACTATTTATAAAAATTGATACGGTGTTTGATGTGTCCATAATACAATATAAAGATAATCGTAAAATACGAGGACCTATTGTTTAGAGAGGTTTTTTTGAACAGTAGTGAACTACAACAACAAAAATTCATTGTTCATTTTCAAATTCATGAATCATTTATTTTTAATAAATTTAATATTTATTAAAAATATTTATCTTTTAAAAGTGGTCCACTATTAATAAAAAAAACCACACACAGACATTTTAAAATATGTAGCCTCGGTTATCTATAGATAAAATGAACTAGAATACGCCTAGTTTATCGAGATGTGCAATTGAAACCCAATGTTATCCTTGTCGCCCAATAATTAGTTTAAGCAAAATATCATCGAGCACTACGATTTTTTTTTTTAAATAATAATTTAATTACAATACTATATTTGATTTTCTTTATTTTTAAAAACACGTGAAGTCGACATATGTAAGAAAATATTTAAATTATTTTTACAGTAAAAATTAAAGAAATTTTCAGTTCTGGGTCTTAAAGCATTTTTGATAAAATTGAATAAATAATTTTCGCTGTTGATCAGCAATAAGAATTTGGAACAACTCAGGTAAAAACTTCATTTATAATTATTTTTTCATAGTTACCTCTATATAATTGAAAAATTCGTAATATAATATATATTTTTATTTTGTTGGTTGTATCTATAAATAAATTAAAACAAATTATTTTATATTTAATAATTCAAATATTTAATAAAATCATATATTTTACAACAATATGTTATATATTTTTAAATGCTTTCAAATATCACTAATTGGTATATACTGTCATGCCCCAAAATTAGAAATAATTTTATTTCTTTGATTTTTGTTTAAGGCCTTGCAAATACTTTCCAAGAAATTCTTGCACAGATTTACTTTGTATATTTTTCAAAAATGATTGCAAATCTTCAGAGCGATTTTGTTCAAATTCTTTTAAAATATTACTGCGAGAATTTAATTTTGTTGCTGCTCGTGCAGAATCCTCAACATCATCGTAACGAGATATGAATTTTAAGCATTTCTCAAATGCTTCAGCTTTATTATTAGCCATATCATCCACTAAGCCCATCTTCAGCGCATCTGCACTTTTGTACATTCTACCTTCAAGCAAATCTGCCTCAGCTAGGCGCTTATTCGGCATTACATGATAATAAGTATCTATAACCCATTTGGGTACAGCTACACCGGCTTTCGTTTCATTAAGCCCAATCCAAAAATTAGGTAGTATCACCCGATAATCGCAACAAGTAGCAAACATACAACCACCGGCCGTAGCATGTCCGTTTATAAGCGCTAAAGTCGGTAAAGTAGTGCTAAATAAACTCAACCAAGCATTCTGTAAAGATAACCAGAATTCTGTTAATCGTTGTTCGTCAGATTTATACATTTCTGTTAAATCCAAGCCAGCACAAAAGATTCTGTCCGAAGCTGATGTTAAAATAATTCCACGACATTTATCCAATTTCTCACAGTGCTCCACAGCTTTCTTAATGTCAGTCATCAGCTGCAAACTAAGCGCATTTGCCGGCAAGCGATTCAATGTTAAGGTGGCAACAGCGCTGCCGGCGTCTATGTTAATGTCGACAAGTGACTTTTGCTGCCTGCTTGCTGGCGTTGATGAAAAAGTACGCAAATGTAGATTTATTTTATTATATCTTGAGATATTTTGTAAAAGTTGTTTAGTGGCCATTTCGACAAGTTTTAATTGTATATTAATTGTTTTTTGTTTTTACTTTTTCGTTAGTTAATAATTTTTAGTATTTTAATGTAAATCACACTTCCAAACAATACGTCAAATTGCTCCAAACTGAAGCAAACGTAAAGCAATTTTGTATCTGATAGTTCTCTATATTGTACTTCAACGGCACCAAAGAGAATTAATTAAGTTGTTCAGTGTCTGAGAGCGAAAATACTAAATGCTATATTTATTATTTTTGCTGAGAGTGATAAGCAGTGGAACCCAAAAATAGCTTTATATTCGTTTAGTAGTAGCAGAGAAAATAAATACGAGTTTGTTAGTTGGAATATATATATATAAGAATGTATCTAATCATGCACTTATTGACTCTGGTATGGGAGCGAAAACAGTAAATTTTTTCTCGCATGATATTTTTGGCAAACAATCTTTTTGTGTGGAAATTATTATGGTCTAACTCGGAAGAGTAATTTTCTTAAACTAAATAATTTGAAGATAGTTTCTCTTTCAATTTATAAAGAATAAATTGATAAATATATTTTTATATCTATTATGGAATTTATTTAAAAATATATTTAACTTGTAGTGCAAACAATTATACATATTATGACCATATAAATATGTACAAGCGAAACAAATTTTAACAATAATTGTCTTCGGCCAGGTCTCCACTTAATTAATTTAAAACGAAAATATAAAAAAACATTATTCTGAAAATTTCAATTTTTAATTAAAATTTTATGACAAATCCGAATCATAAATAAAATAAGTGTTAGTGGCGTATCTTTTAAAACTTCACTTAACAGAAACGTTAGGAAAAGCATGAATAAATTTTTTAAAAATACTTCTAAAAATAATGTCACCGGGAAAATTTTATTTTTTATTAAATTTTATGATGAATCTAAATCAAAAATAGATATTCATCAAACTTTTTAAAAAACTTTGTTTTTAATGAATATAAGCAATTCATAAATACAAGCAATTTTAATTTAATTATATTATATTACTCTTTACAAAGTAAATAATTTTAAGGCTACTATTTAGAGTCCGAGATGTAGCCATTTAAAAAGTGACTAAATACAAATTCTTAAAAGTCCGTAGATCCATATTTGCTAAATAAATTTTAATATTAAAAAATTTAAAAACTCTTTTCCGAGATGCAAGTATTTTTATTTTGAAAAAGTAGCTAATAAAAAAAAATGTAACTAAATCGAAAATAATGGAGACTAAAGTCATTCTAATAACACTACCCATTATTTTCAAAGACTTATAGTGATGGCCATTCAGCAGACAACCACATAATCAGATAATAAACTTAATTTTTTAAATAAAATATTTGTTGTTTTTCATTATAATTATTATTAAAAATAAAGTGTATAATTACATTTATTATTAATTTATGATTATCATCATTGCTATTATACTACTATAATAGTATATATTGTTATATATTTAATATTTAATGTTATATATTAAATATTATATATTATTAATAAAATTTTCTAAAAAAGTTTACAATATATTATTAAGTGTTACAAGCTTCTTCAGTTAGTCTTTACTGGGTTCCGCGCCACAGTGGAATTTTGGAAAATGAAATAAGTCAGTACAAAACAAATGATCAAGAAGAGGGAGAATTAGAATCATATGCGACTGGTGTACTGGGAAGACTTCCCAGGCCTTAGACAAAATAATGCACTGATCAAACCGTACTCCAACAAAATCATTCTTAAATTCTCGAAAGGTAATTTAAGGTTGATAACAGGTTTCATCACGGGAGATTATGGTAAGAAATATCACCTTTATAAACTGCGATTATGTGCTAGTACAGACTATGCCTCGAAGATAAAGAATTTACTTTGCATATTCTTTGGACTTTGTTCACAAAGCTTTAAAGGGCTTTGTGTAATCAATAGTGAAATTGTTACAATAGAACTCTTCTGGTATTTTCACATCAATAATTATAATAATAATAATATATTATATTTTATATACTATATATTATATTATTATAATTATCATAACATATTATAATTTTTAATATATATGTATCGTGTATTTTATGTGTATTTAATAAATATTTATATACTATATTTTATAAAACTGTAATAATATTAATCATTATTTCCATAGTTATATTCATAATTATTACTACTATTACCATAATTATTAGCAATATTATAGGACTCTATTTTTATCAACTATATCAACTCGTTAGTGGTATATGCCCGTGAGCTTTGTCACATATTCTTTTACTAAGCTGTTGACTAGGGACAAGATAAACGCGATAGAGAACATAAAAGTCAGCATTGAAATGACACAAATAGAGAGGAATGGAAGATATTCATCAAAACAAAGTTATTCACGGCTGTGTTCTTTCAGTCACTTGGCGGTATATCATCTGGCTACCTACACTTATCATATCTATAGTCCATATTTAATCTCTGTCGCTTCCATTACCCCCTTACCCTGTGATTGCCACAGTTATCTTGTCCCTTCAGCAATCTATCTTCTTCCATCAACATCGTCATTACGCTTTGGCTTAAACATATTTAGATTTTAGGAGGTTAACCCTATTAATTTCTATTTCAACGTTTGATTACTGATATGGATTTCACTGCAACTTGAACCTGGCTGAAATATTATAATGGCATAAATATTAATTTTTCATTCGTAGGAGGTGATTTTTAGAAGTAAAGATGATGTCTATATAAGAGAAATAGCTAACAGTTACTACATGCGTATCTTCTCCTTTACTGTAATTTTGGAAATTAAAACTGAGGCGATTGTTACTAAAATACATACATTCAAATATAGAAATATTTAAACAACGAGTTTCTAACTTAAAAGTTGGAAAGGTTTGAATAGAAATGAAAAGACAACAACAAAAATTTTTAGTTTATTTATTAAACTTTGATTGACCATAGAACGATGTTTCGAGTATAGCCAAGTACAAATTAATTTTATTCAAAAAAAAAAAAAATAAATCTTATATTATCTACAAAAAATAAATTAACTTGTCGAGTATTGTGTTTTGCTTAAATATTATATATACAAATATTTAAAATTGCAAAAATAAAAATAAAAAAAAAATGAAATAAAAAAAGTTTATTTTAATTTAAAAGTCTATTAAATTTTATAAAATATGGAAAACGTAAGATATGACAGAAAAGTTATCTAAAAGTATTTTACAATAAAAATTTAAAATTCCTAAAATCAGTATTTGCGATAAGAATTAAGTATATAACCACCAGGTTACTTCTGTAATTATTGAGTTCTAATTTGAATTTTCAGTTATTCATATTTGAAAAAGTTTTTCGTCAGTTCCACAAAATGAAGTTATTCTACATATTCGGGTTCCTGATATATTTAGGATTTGCGAGTTCTGAGGACACCATAAATCCTAGTGATATTGCTGGGGCTGCTACTACCACAGAAAGTACCACCACTGAATGTACTACCACTACTGGTACTACTACTACTAGTAGCATTCCGAATGCTGCTGGACCAGCTGAAAATATTTATAGCTTCCCATTCTTTCCATTCAAACCGTCAGTGGACAGGAATGGAAACGTCATCGTTATACGTGGGGTGTAAAAACCTTAAAAATTTGTTTATAAAATTTTATCTGTAAAATTTAGTTTCAAGTTAATAAATTTGAATTTGCAATGAAAGATCACTCATTTAAGTTTTTAAAGGTGATTATCCTAAAACAAGAAGACATATGAGAACTTATTACTCATTTCTAAAATAATATTGGAATTAATGAATTAAATGAAAATATTAAGCATATCCAAAAATTTTATTAAATTTATTACAAGAAATATAAATTAGAAGTGAGCAAAACGCAGATGGTAAGTTACATATTCATTGAAAACATATTCAATTTTTTCTCATATAATATGTAACGATGGAAGAAACATATCTCGATCCCTACACTATGAAGATAAATATCTCGATCCCTATACTATGGAGAAAAATTGGGTCAGCCTGTTACTATTTTAATATTATTAAAACTATTTTCGTGAAATCGCCCAACAGCCGGTACTCCGGGTAGAAAAGTTCTATTGCAACGAATTCACTTTTAACTACACAAAACCCTTTTTAACTTTGTTCACAAGTCCAGAACTAAATCTAAAAACCAGCTCTTAATCTGTTGCAGTGACAGAAATTCCATATGAAACAAGTTTCTTCTGTGAGCTGTTAAAGATGGACAGTCACAAAGAATATGTATAGTTATATCTTCATCTTCGAGGCATAATCTGCATTTCGAATTAGCAGTTAATTTATGTAGTTAATATTTCAGACCATAACGACACGTAATGAAACCCATCAGTATCCTAAAATTACCGTTCAAGAATATAAGAATGTTTTTGTAGGAGTACGATTTGATCAGTGCTTTGCTTTGTTTAAGTCCTGCGAAATCTTTCTAGTACACCAGCCGCAAACGTTTTTAGACGTTTTTTTTAATGATATTGCAAATTACGCATAGATTAATTACATGAATTTCAACTTGGAAAACACTCGGTAATTGCCTCCGAAATTCTGGTGTTGGATCCATGTACACCAGCACCAGTGCGTCCACCGATTCTTTATCCGTCTGTGTACCAAAACTAACTTTTTGGGTCAATCTGTGGGCCTCCGTTATCCCACGTTAAACGTGATGGTAGGTGTACACCAAATTTTCGGCTAAACCGATGTACTTGTATTATATAGTCTTTATCGCACTGAGATGTTTTATCTGCTCCAAATGTTTTTAATATTGTTTCCTGACTATACTCAAGACAAACCTTGTTCATGTGGAGTTTTAATCGGAGCGCACTAAGCGCAAAGCCAGAATTTTTAAGAAAATTATATATATTTGGAACTTGGAAAGGAAAAACGTTTTTTGAAAACGATCCATTAGGTTTGGGTAATCGTCTTAAACTTATTGAATGAAACAAATTTAAATTTGTTAATATATAAAAAAATTGCATTTTTGAAATATAAGAAATATTCCAAGTTGCATTAATTGACTGTCACATATTAAATCCCATTTCGATGTCAAGTTTTTCATTCATCATGCAAAACTGGTTTTCACTTTTCAAATAATTTATGTTAATGGCCCTTCTGAAAGGGTCATAAC